GCTATAGTTAGGTATAGTTGGCTATGGTTAGCTATAGTTGGCTATGGTTAGCAATAGTTGGCTATAGTTGGCTATAGTTAGCTATAGTTTGCTATAGTTAGCTGTAGTTAGCTATCGCTCCCCGACGCGGCGGTCGTGGGTTCGACTCCCGCTCACGACCCTCTGCTGCAGGTCTCTCCCCGTTCTTTTCCCCCTTTCCTGTCTGTCTCTATTGCTCTAAAATAAAGGCAAAAAGCCCAAAAAATATATATTTAAAAAAATAAGTATTTCAAACACTGTGGAAAGCCTTGTTAAAACAAAGTCATTTTTAATCAGAAATCAGCCTAGAAACACGTGTTTACTCCATTGTCTTATTAGACGATTACCAGACAACTACCTTTGATGGTAGAGAAGCTAACTCGGTGAAGTCTGTTACTAGAACCGCTGTAGTGAAATATTAGTGCTCTTACTTCCCCCACTGCCCATCTCTGTCCATCAAAACAGAATAAGTACGTGAACTAATATTGTTAGTATGTTTTCTCCCAAGTGAGGTGAGACCACCCACATTAGCTGGTGACGTAGACCAGTGGGTTTGTTGTGAGGAGTGAGTCTCCCCTGGTGTGGAACAAGTAGCAGCACGCTGCCACTGCCATGAAGCAAAGTGTTGCTATACCAGGCAGCAGAGTTAGTGGAGCCAGCCATGACTAGATCTGCACCGCTACTGGGAGTCTGTGTTGTATTCGCTGTCACCTCCAGCATTCATCTAAGAGCTGTGTAAAATGCTGCTCAGCCGGGACAAACGTTACTGGAACAAACACAGAACGAGATAAAGTCATCAAACCACACAGACGCTGGTCTCTTCTCTGGTTTCCTGAATATTCTGCAGAATGATTGGCTAGTTTGGCTACTGGAGCAGAGGTGGTAGAGGGTCCACGCCGTCCTCGGAAAATGGTTTGGAGCATTTAAAAAATGCTAAACAATTCACACAATTTGTGCTGCATTTAGAATTTGACTTTTGGAAGTAGTTCTAAGTTGGAAGCGGTTTCCGATGCCCGATTCTAACTGTGCAGGAAGTAAAGTTGAGTGTTGTTAGTGTTACGGTTAGTGAAGTTGGATGTGAATTAGGGTGTGGACGCTTTGAGTGACAGGCTGGTACCGTCAGAGGTGTCGGCATTGGCCCTCCACCTCATCTCTCGGTGAGCTGGGAGGAGTGAAGCTCCCTAGATGGCGACGGCCAGACACCACGCTGAGCCTCAGACCTGCTGATCAGGACACCTGAGTGGCGTTGTGGAGGTTTGTCTCCACAACAAAATGTACTAATTCACATGTGGTGCTTTAGTTAGTAGGAGAATGGCCACAAATAAGTCACACTGGCCAACATGTTAGGCAGGGCAGCGCCTCTTTGGTCCATACCATGCTTCAGGCTTTGGATGCACACCTGTTGGTTTTAGACCTTTTATTATCTCGTCTTATTTAGAAGAGAATCCCTGACTTAACGTGAGAAGTTTTGCTGGAGAGGTGGAAGAACCACCAGATCAATGTGCTGCTTTCATGAGTCGCTGCATGAAACTAACTTCCCGACTCGTTTCTTTCAGGTGGCTGCTCGCTTCACACCTTCTGAACTCATATCTATGCAAAGTCAATCTGGTTAGTGAGCCTCATCCTGTTCCTAACCAACACTTCCACTCCCAGGCCTGGTGCGGCTGCCCAGTTCACACATTTCTGAGATCTAATCATGAACCTGCTAAAAGCACTTCTCTCTCTGAACCTTCCTGTGGTCATTTGTTCCCTTTCTGTATTTGTCTGTCTTCATTTCTCTTCCTCCTCCACTTTAAACCCCATCTGTCCTTTGACTACGCAGCCGTTGACCTCTGGGCTCCTGGAGGCTAGAAAAGTGCTCACATACAGAGACAGACAGACTTTGTTCAAAAGAAGAGAAAAATAAAATCAATGTGCACCATACAGAGAAGGAGAACATAGTGACGGCGGTCCAGATCTGTCCAGAGCTCTTGTTCTCTGCCCCCAGCATGCCCATTATCCAATCTGAGAAAACCCACTGTGAGCCTGCGACACCCATTGAATCATCAATGTCATCTCGTCATCGTCCCTAAATCTGACTGTGGCCACAGAGACGAGACAGAACGGGCACGTCTCTGCACGTCCACGCTGCAAATATGCAACTAGTATTTGTAGTAGTAGTATTAGAGCAGGAGAGGAGGAGGAACAGTGAAACAAGGAAGAGATACAGGGACCACAGCAGAGGAAGAAACAACATTCAGAGTATTTCGTACCTGCATCCTCTCCAGCATGTCGAAGAACTCTGCAGACTGAAAGAGAGAAAGATCACAATGTAATGTCAAGCATGTAAAACAGGCTGAAACAGTGACGGCACAACGCAGCCGGTACAACAGCACAGTCGTCACACCTAAGCTGACTCTCATTTACACCTTGTGCAAGTGTTTCAACACCTAGTCCAGAAGCCAAATGTTGGATGTAAACGTCTCACTGATAGCGTTGGTCCTGATCACAGCTGGTCTAGCTGTGCTGCACAACTCTCCTGCAAAGGAGAAACTTTGCTGTGTCAAAGGGCAGGGCAGGGTGCACACGTCCCCACATGCAGCCACACTGATAAGGCAGCACTTCCTCACAAAGCAGCATAAACGCACATAAACACACAGACTGGAGCCTCGACGGCAGCGTTCACACGTCCTCGTCCCCGGAGCCTCCGCCGGCCACACCAACAGGCTGCGAGGTGATAATGGTCCGCAGGCGCTTTGTGCTCGCATTGTGTCGCGTGGATGAGTGTGTGATATGTGCACGGTTTAGGCTGCAAGTGTGCGCGCGCACACACACACACACACACACACACACACACACACACACACACACACACACACACACACACAGAGAAAATGTCGATCCCTGGCATCAGAATTAAACTTCCTGCTAGAAAGAGGAGCCAGTTTAAAGGATGATAGTTACAAAAGCAGCCTGAGCAGCGTCATGCTTCCTGTTTAGCTCTGAAGTCCAAAAACCGCCAACAGGTGTGAAAGTTATCTTTGTAAAGAACTGCTGAAATTACACCGTTTATCAGAGCCAGAAACTGTGAAAACAACTGTGAGATTTTCAAATCTCGACCAGTTCCTGGACAACTCATCTGTTCAGCCAAACTCAAAAGTATGATATTTCATCAGAATCACTTTGTTCTATATGTGTCATTTACAAATTCTGCAAAATGAAGCTGTTCGCTCTAACCAGACTATAAAATACAACAAATTCTGCACTATTGGTGCAACTATGAAGCCAGCAGTGACTCAGCTGCTACCAACAGTTGAACTGGGCTGAACTGGAGGCTGTGTTCACACAGAGCAGAGAGGAGACAAGTGTGGAACCAAATTACAACCTGCAAATACTTACTCGTCTATAGCATGGAGAGTCTCCTTTTGGCTGTATGGGTAACACTTATATACTGTCCTTACTGAGTCCATGACTTATTTTGGTTTATTTTTCTAAATTAAATAATCAAACCCATTCAGCATTCTTTGTTTGTGATTTGTATTATTGACACGACTGTGTCCTGATGCATTGAGGACAGTTTTTGAATTCTCGCTACTTCTGTAGATTTGCAGGACTGTATTTGCAGCAAAAATGAGCCCACAGCAGGTAGAAATGTGACAAAAAAGAAAAAAAGCACTGCAGTTTATCATACCATACCGATAAACACTATACGAGGAGCCACCGTGCACGGACATGCAGTATCACAGAGGCTCAACCAGCAGCGTCGTAAACCACACAGAAAGAGGAACTAAACATAAATGCCTTACCAATGACCCGCAGCTGGTCTGGAGATGTGTTTAACTGTTGTTTAATGGCAGCTCCAGCTGTAAAAGGCTCTACATAACTCTATCCTGACAGCACCGGTATAAACTAAGCCGCATACTGGATACCTGTGAAGAATCTATAAATCCATCATCAGCACTCCCAATGCCACACACGGCTCTTATCAATGAGTTAATATTAACTGGTTGAGCTGCTGTGAGCTGATGCAGCGCTGGGACCTGCAGAGTCAACACCAGACACCCAGACCAGCAGTAGAACGGCGGCCTATCTCGGTTGATAGCAACTGTGGCAGCGCAACATGTGCTGTCAGCCAGTGGCACATGTTTGGTGACATGTTTGTCTCTCCATGTGCAGCACAGTGATGCCACTCCTTAACCTACTGCTGCAGACAGCTGACCGTGGCAGCAGCAGCGTCTGAGGAGGATCTTGGGGAGCAGACGGTGTATTCAAGGACATCTCCTACTAGAGCCCCGATCTGTCTCCTGCCTCACTGTCAGTCCACAGAACGTCTCTAGATGTTCCTCCTCTGGTCCTCGCTGCTCTGCCTCTTTTACCCCAGTGTGTCATTCTGCTACATGTTTTCTCTTCCCTCTTTATCTCTCTAGCCAGCATCAGCTGCATCTCTGATCTCCCACAGCGACCTGCAGCGGTGACCACAGGCTGATTAACCAGGCAGACTGACTGACCGACCGACCGACCGACCGACAGAGGCAGCTCCTGACAGAGGACAGGACGGCAGCGGTACAGAGCAACACAGGGACGTATCTAATATGACACTGGAGGCGCCTATTTGATTTCTAAACCTTGCTTGTGCAGCTGTGATGATTCTCAGCCATTCACGTGAATAAATGTCAAAGCAGAAGGAAATTGGACTTCTTTTTAAACCAGAAAATGCCTGTACTTAGGATTACATGCTGCCGACAGCTGCCCCGGTGTTATATTTACACAGTATTTATGATGCTGCTGAGTAGTTACGAATGAAAAGCAAAGATTCAAGAGAAATTAGCTTTAAGTGCTGAAATCTGAAGCCTATGCACGGTGTGCTGACACACCTGCACACTAAGCTGCACGCTCTGATCTCAACACACTACTAATCGGACTTCTTCATGAACAAACCATCTGGTAGTTGTTCGGAGTCGGCCAGTAAGGACTTACCTTGACGACGGCCGCCAGACATCTGAGCCTTTTGTGCCTCTGTCTTCCTCTTATTCTTATCCTCCTGCTAGATTTAGAAAAGGACTTCCCTTCAAATCATAGTACTCACGACTTTCTCTTTTAACACCTAAAGCTTGAACAGGAAAGTCAAGTTGGGCAGCAAACTGAATCATTTGTCAAACGGAACAGGTTGTTCCAGTGTTTAGGTCCAACACGCGGCAGAGTTTTGCTGTCTCACCAGTGTCTCTGCAGACCGTCGACTCATAGCTTTACACACAGTGTGCGTGGTTGGAAATGTCAAATCACAGAGTGAAACGCTCCAATGCACGTTCCATTATGTGACCATAACACTGTGAGGACGAACCCTGTCGACTGCTCAGGCCTTCTACATACAGCGGTAACAGTGGAGAGCTCTGCTACGAGCACAAGTCATGCATTAAAGCCAGCGGACATGGTACGCATCCAACACGCTTAAAGAACAGAGTTACCAGTCATGCAGATTTAAGAAAGATATTATAATTACTAATGCATTAATGTGCACATGACTGTAACGCAGCAGATAGTTTATGAGCTGCTGTGTAGTTGTCAGTGTTCTCCATTCTGTGAGAATGCATCTCGTTTATCATGTTAATTAGTTTATAGGAAGGAAAAAGGAAGCCGTCAAATAATGTCAGGGGAGTAAAAAGTTCTACTTCTGTCTGAGTTGCTATCAAGTGCACGTGTACAGTAGCAGAAGTGGAAATATAGAAGCACAAGTTCAAGCAAACAGCACTTGAGTACACAGAGGCTGTTTCCACCACTGCTGCACATGTTTACTCACCACTGCTGCCTAATCTCTCACCTTAAACGCCTTTTCAAACCACTTTCTCAGAGAGCAGAGGACGGCAGCAGCAAAGGGAAGTAGTGCCCTGTCCACTGTGTCATCTGGGTGAAGTTTAAACACTGACAAATGAAGACACGGAACATCTTCCTTCACTTATAACGTGCTTCTGATATACTGTTTCCTGTAAAACCTGGCTGTGGTGTTCTGAAGCAAACAATCCTCTCTGATGTCTCTGATAAACAGCACTGGAGCTCAGAGCAGTAGGTTGAACCCGTTCTAGCTTCGACAGCTTTAGATTTAAACAATCATATCAAGATCATTTGCAGTAGAACTTTACTCAAAAGTTTGTGCGATATCAGCTTCTGCATCATGTGTAGCGCTTCATGTGCAATAAGAACGTCTAATATTTAATACTTTCATGTCAGTGCAGTGCTCTGTTTCTTTCTCAGCTGCAACACGTCATTGTCATGTGTGATATTACTTATAATTACCCCAGAATGTGTGCCAGTGTTCCTCATTGCTGTTCTATTTTGGTTTTACTCTAGCTGCCTTTATTTTAGCATCGTATCACACTTCCATCTTATTGCCTTTCTACTATATAGGAACCTATTTCATATGTTGTGTCACTTTGTTTTGTTCTGAGCGCTATCTTCTGGATTAATTAGTTAATTAGTCATATTTATTCTAACCAAAGAGGTTAGAGCAACAACGAATGTGCACACTACACACCCAAACAGACTGCACGAAGGCTTAGCATTCCGAGAATGAAGACGCATGTTTCAAAACTCAATTCATGTAATTTTTTTCTATTGAATTTTACTGCCACAGCCTGTAATTCAACATAGGTAATCTCAGGGCACCTCACGCTGTAAGGTCAACACCTTCCAGTAGAGGAAAAACCCAACAAATTCTCTTTGAGCAAGCTCTTGTCAAAAGCCATGGATTGGATGAACTGTATTTATAGCAAATTATATGTTTGATCACTTTTCTATGAGTGTGACATTAGTGATGCATGCCATTACCTTACCATTAGACCGCTCTGGCTCACAGCTAAATTGTGGGTCTGTGACTGATAATTACCAGAAACCAGCCACATATCAAGAAGAAAATTGATGTCATCTGGCTTGACTTATATTCCCCTTATATATATCACATATTCTCTCATAAGTACAGCCTGTCTCCGTAGTCAGGCTTTCTCTGAGCTCTGTGCGCTCTGCCTCAGTCTTCAGCAGATTCAGAGATGACATCTTCTTCAAGGTCACCAAGCCGCAAAAACTGGCTCCATCTTCCAGGAACAATCACCTCTTCCTATAAATCAAGCTGTTAATCTCTTCTCTGCAAAACACATCCTCTCTTTTATCACGCAGAAGGAAAAATGAAAAATCCTTCAGCTTTACAACAAGGGAAGTCCTGTGTGAGTAATGCACGTCTGAAAAGATCGTAGCAAACGATCTCCTGGAACAGCACAAAGCGTTTCTATGAGTCAGTGTTCCAACACCTGAAGCAGGAGGATGCTCTGCACTCTGCTGGCTTTGGTTTCTGCTCATATTCAGTCAGATTTTTCTCTTTTTGTTTTCAGATGCTTCCTTTGACAACACAGTTTGCGTTCAGGATGCCATTAGTCTAGAATAAAGCTTGTGTCCCTTGGCAGTCCGTCATCATTCCATCTACTCTACAGCATGACGTAATTGTGACTCCGTTTTTCATAACACAACCTTTTATTGGCAAAAGGACGACCAACATAAAACCACCGGAATTGCAAAGGAAAGTGGTCGATAAGGAGAACCAACAACAAGTGAGATCAGGGCCTTGAAAACCAATTTAGGGACCTGCATACCGACAATCCCACATTGAGGTGTGAGAATCTAATGAAGGTGTCGCACACTTAAATCAGTCGATATTCCTTTAATTTAATGTGTTTAAAGAGGCAGTTTCAAAGACTTTATACTGTGTGCAGATCTCTCAACCGGCTCCTCCCTATTCGCTGCAGCTCGAGCACACCAGCTCACCTACAACTCTGCTAACACACTGTAGCACTACTCTACACTAGCCAGTGGCAGACGACAGAATTGGACTAATTCAGCCACATGCACTCACACCTAAAACACAGAAGGCTCAAGTTTGTTATGCATGAAGCTCCCAGAGTCCGAATCCATGTTTCTGTTGCCAACTGTTTACGTCACTCGTGAAATGTCTCCCAGCATATAAAAAACCTGGTACAGACATGTTAACAGGGTAAAAACCTAGTAAAGTATGACAGTGGCACAGAGCAACATCCAATCCCTGTGTGAGCTCTACATCCTGCCTCCAGAGGTTATCCTTTGTTTTACTGTCAAGCAGATGTTGGAAACAAGGATTAGAGAACTCGTGGCCTGGAGGAGCAGTCACAGCACACGAGATCAGAGCCGGATGCAGTTACACAGTGAAGTGAACATGTTGACTGTGTTTCAGAGTGATACTGGAATTTAATGATGGACAGGGTTAGATTAACAGAGGCCATAACTTGAATTCTGATTGCTTTTATGTCCTTGAGTATACATGTTTTATTGCTCGTGGAGGGCGAAAGCATGGTTTTAATTCATTTAATGCAGGAATCTACATAAACACTACATTCAGAGAGATGTAAACGAAAAGCGTGTGTTTCAGCCATAGACTGTATAAAAGATGGACGTAGCAACCGGTCCTGAAAAATGAAGCCAACCC